GGCTGTATTTTAATTCATTTTGCTTTAGGTTTTTTTCTCCAGCCCTTGTTTTATTATCTATAACATTATCATCAAGACTCAAAACTAAACAAAAGGCATACTGATAATAGTGTAATCCCTCTTCCATAACTTCCATCTCATTTTAAATCACTCCCTATAGGTAATCAATTTCACTTATTTCTGATTTCTTCTTCCTATTTGTATTTTGTTTGTTTTTCTCACTGTTTTTTTTATAGGAGAGTATCAGGTTCTTTTTTTTTTAATTAAATTTAATTTTTTTTCGGTGATCCAAAATTCACTGTTTATTTTAATTATGCTGCTTAAAATGCTTTGGAAAAGCACAGAGCCCCAAATTGCGTGAAAATCAAGGGATAACTTTTGCTCCTTCATCCTCACTCAGTTCAGCGGTTCACCAATGAATGGCAGGAATGACCATGGTGACTCATAAATTGATTTAAATGTTGCACCAACTTTGGAGAATTCCTGATCTTTCCAAGGTGATCCACAATCACTGGGCTTGGGGGTGATTTCAGCAGTGGAGAGAAGGGGCAGGAAACCAGGCTTTAAGGAGGTGGACAGGTTTTCAGTGTGTCCCCAAGATCAACAGGAAGGGAGCTGAGCTCAAGCCGCCTGCCCCAGGCGTGCCCCAGGCAAACCTCGGGGGCTCTCCTGGGCATCACCTCTGCCAGGGCCAGGAGCGGGGGGACAGGGGTGTGTGGGCTGTCTGCCCAGATGAATGGAAGTGGTCCCGGGATGGAGGGCAGGGGTCTGAGATGTGTGTATCGCTGTCCTGCAGTGACGGGGGATGGGAGTTGGGGGAGTTGGGGGATGGGGGGAGGAGGGCGGGTCGCCGTCTGGGATGAGCGGAGTGTGGGGCGCAGTCGGGGCTGCGGTGCTGGCAGAGGGCGAGGGGGCTGCCCTACCACCAGAGGACACCTCCTCAGGTCTCTGCTGGGTTGTAGGGACTGCCCCTCCTATTTGTGTTTTTGAAAAAGTAAACAAATATGGAGCCTCTGACTGGCTCGGTCTGTAAATCATGTGACTCTTGATCTCCCGGTTGTGAGCTCAAGCCCCATGTATAGAATAGAGTTTACTTAAAATAAAAAATTAAAGAAAAAAAAGATATGTACATATTACCCTTTTCCCCATTTCTTATACGAATGATAGTTTGCACTTTCTTTTTTTTATTCTATAATATGTAAGAGACTGCTTCATCCATTTATAAAATTATTTCTTATTCTTTTTCATGGCTTCATAGTACCTGAATGGATTCAGCAACGTTCTTATGTTTATACTTGTTTCCAGTATTTTGCAATTACACACAATGCTGCTATGAGAAATCTTGTGCGTATGTGTTTACTGATTCTGACGCCCAATTCCAGTGTGTTGGGGGGTGGGGGGAATAGGGAGAGAGGTTTCCTATACCACCTGTACCACCCAGTTTTTCACTCAGTTCTGTCACTCTCTACCCAGAGACAGCATCAGGTCCCATGGGCTAAGGGCTCAGTACCACCAGACAGGCTGCCAATCAGATGCTAATTCCAGGCTCATGTTGTTACTTGTGCTTTGACCCAACTGGTTATAAATCAGGGGTTTCCACAAGCCCCTTCTCCGGGTCTGTTAATCAGCTAGAATGGCTCATCAGAATTCAGGAAACCAGTTTCCTCAGCAGATTACCGGTTTATTACAAAAAACATTAGAGGATACAAATAAAAAGTCATATGGGGAGATAGGCAGAATGAGGTCCTGAGCAAGGAGCTTCTGTCCTTGGGGAACGTGGGACTCTGCACAGTGGCACTTGGAAGCATTCTGATTCACCAGCCTGGAGCTCTCCAAGCCCCATCCTTTTTGGTGTTTTATGGAGGCTTCACTATATAGGCATGATTGATTAAACGATTGGTCGTTGGTGATTGACTTCACCTCCATATCTAATCCCTCTGCCCCAGAAATCAGGGGATGGGACTGAAAGTTTCCACCCTCTAATTCTGGTTGATTTCCCTGCAACCAACCTCTATCCTCACCAGCTTTCCAAAAGTCAGTTCCTTAACATAAACTCAGTTGCAGCTGAAAGGGGCTTATTATAACAGGACACTCATTTCACCTTTATGGCTCTGAAGTGATTTCAGGAACTGAGGACAAAAAACTATATATTATAATGTAAGATGCTTCCACTGTTCTTATCACTTAAGAAATTCCAAGGGTTTTGGGAACTGTGAACCAGGCACCATGGGTGGGAGACAAAAATATATGTTTATTTTAAATTATAATATTACAGTATTTTTGTATTTCTGAAAGTGCATCTTCAGTGTAAATTCAAATAAACCCAGACTGAAACCCCTGAAGCCCAACTCCAGAAATAATTATTTTTAATTGTTTTGTGTATCTAGTGTTTCCTTATACACACTCAATCAAATGTATTTTTATTTTCCAACATTTTAATAAGAAAACTAAATGAAATAATTATATGCTCCTCTTCTCCCACACACTTAGTAGAAAAAATATAGGCATAGTAGTATGATACATTTCCTATTTTATCAAAGAATTTGAGCATATGATCAAAGCAGGTATTTCTGACATAGTCCGTAGAATTCTTGTTATTATTAATATTAATAAAATTTGAGAGCACTTATAATATAATTGAAAAAAATGTTTGAATGGAATTTTTATTTACCTTCCAAGAAGTGTTTCATCATCAAGGTTACTTAAATCTGTTAATATTCTTAATTACCTATTAAAAAAGTGTTTATTAATAAATGTTATCTTTCCAAATAATGTAAGAAGCTATCCCATGTGTTAATAACTATTTTCCAGTTCCAAAGGATAGGATTCAGCATTTGGTAAACACCTGGGGCTTCAGGGACAGTGGCCCTCTTGGAAAGGTCCCAGGAGCCCTGCACCCTTTCCATAAACCTTGCCCTATGCATCTCTTCCATCTAGCTGTTTCTGAGTCATATCTTTTTTAATAAATCAGTAATGTAGTAAGTAAAATGTTTCTCCACGTTCTGTGAGCTGCTCTAGTAAGTTAATCAAAATACAAGGAGGAGGTTATAGGAATCTCTCTGATTTAGAGTTAGTTCAGAGCCCCAGGTAACAGCCTGGGCTAGTGACTGGTGTCTGAAGTAGGGGCAGAGGGAGGTAGTCGTATAGGACCAAGCCCTGACCCTCTGGAATCTGACGACATCTCCTAGTAAATAGTGTGAGAATTGAACTGAATTGTAGAACTCTTGATGTCTGGAGAGTTTCTTGTTGGTGGTATGGGAAACAAACTTTCTCCACACATTGAACCTACTCTCAGAACGAGTTCACCCTAGTTCTAAGAGCATCCCCAAATAACATCTGATAATGTCAGAGCAGTTATAAATGTTTGTCGATAGAATAATTGTTTTCATATCAAATGTGTCAAATGAAGATGAACTGCCTTGGAAATTTTCCTGGTAGCTCAAAGTCAATTAAAAAAATCTTTATCTGTGGCAGAATGTGTGTATAATGAGTTTGAGTCGATGTGTCTTAACTGCAGGTACTCTGATTCATATAAAAATCAAATCATAACTTTTAGTAATGCTAACCAAAAACAAATTCTCTACTCTCCAGATTTCATTTTGATTTTTACAAAAAATCTTTATGACATTACTGGTGATGTCCCCTTTCATTTCTGATATTAGTAATTTGTCTCCTCTCTTTTTTTTTCTTTGTTAACCTAAGAAGTTTATCAATTTTATTTACCTTTCAAGGAAGTGGCATTTTTTAAATTGATTTTGTCCATTGATTTCCTGCTCTCAGTTTCATTGTTTTCTGCTCAAATTCTTATTTCTTTTCTTCTGCTTACTGGATTGAATTTGCTCTTCTTTTTCTAGTTTCCTAAGGTGGAGGCTTAGATGATGATTATAGATCTTTCTTCTTGTCTAGTATATGCTGTCAATGCTATATATTTCCCTCTAAGCTCTGCTTCCCCTGCATCTCCCAAATTTGATAAGTTGTGTTTTCATTTTCTTTAGTTCAAAATATTTTAAATTTCTCTTGGGATTATTTCTTTGACCCACATGTTCTTTAGAAATGTGTTGTTTGTTTTCCCTGTATTTGGGGATTTTCCAGTTCCTTTCTGTTATTGATTATTAATTCCATTCTGGTCTGAAAGCAGATGCTGTATAATTTCTACTCTTTAAACTTGTTAAGGTGTACCTTGTGGCCCAGAAGGCAGTCTATTTTCAAGAATGTTCCAGGTGAGCTTGAGAAAAATGTATAATCTGCTCTTGTTGGATGAAGTAGTCTATAGATGTCAAATAATCCTATTGAATTCCAGCTATGTCCTTACTGATTTTATGCCCACTGGATCAGTCCATTTTCTAACACGAAGTGGCAATTGTTCAGTGTTTCTATATAATTGAGTCATAATCTATTGTCCTTTTTATATTGAAAAATATTGAAAAATGTGTTTTGCCTGAATTATCAGGAAAATGACAAAAATGTGTTTATGCCTCTACTTATTCAGAGCAAGTGTCTACATTGGCTAAATTCATTTGCCACCTCTATAAACTGTTTTTCCTTTATATAGGTTTAAACGGTCATAAATACAACCCAAACGATGAAGTTGTAGTTGATATTTAAAAGGATGAGGTCAAATTTTTGTTTCTGTTCTGTTTCTTGTGGGTATACATTTGACACTCCTACTCCACAAGTCAGGTTAACAGATGCAAAATAGTCTCACAGGAGGATAAGTGAAATCCATGAAACAGAAACTTTCATTTGCATCTTCACAAATCGTACGTAGGCATTCAGTCTGAACACATGTTCCCCAGACTCGCTAAGTTATAGATGAAACTGAGGTGGTCTCCATGAAGACATTTCTGATTCCATCACAAGGCATTTTAGGGGCATTTTTAAGTCTTTATGTAATGAAATAGAAGAAAAAAATTCTTCCATCAAGCAGCTAACGTTCGTCTCATTCTGCAGCAGGTAACCTAAATGTAATGTAACAGAAGCAATACTAGGAATTGGCAGATATGATAAGCATACTGGAAGGCCTCCTCATTTTTATAGCAGTTAGTGAAGCAATACTGGGAGTTCTAGGGAATGGATTTATTGGACTTGTCAACTGTGTAGACTGTGTGAAGAACAAAAAGTTTTCGATGATTGGCTTTATTCTCACTGGCTTAGCTACTTCTAGAATTTTTCTGATATTGTTAATAATTACAGATGGATTCATAAAGCTATTCTCTCCAGATATGTATTACTCTGGCAAACTAATTGATTTTATTAGTTACTCATGGATAATTATCAATCAATCAAGTATCTGGTTTGCCACCAGCCTTAGTATCTTCTATTTCCTGAAGATAGCAAATTTTTCCCACCATATTTTTCTCTGGCTGAAGGGTAGGATCAATAGGGTTCTTCACCTTCTGATGGGATCCTTGTTTATTTCATGGTTATTTACTTTTCCACAAATTGTGAGGATTATTAATGATAACAGAATGAGGAGTGGAAATACAACCTGGGACTTCAACATGCCAAAAAGTACGTTCTTTACTAAGCAGATTTTGGTCAACCTAGGAGTCATTCTTCTCTTTACACTCTGCCTGGTTACATGTTTCTTGTTAATCATTTCCCTCTGGAGACACAACAGGCGCGTGCAAATGAAGGTCACTGGACCCCGAGACCCCAGTACAGAAGCACACATGAAAGCAATGAAACTTTTAATATCTTTTATCTTCCTCTTCATCTTGTATTTTATAGGCATTGTCATAGAGATAGTATGTTTCAGTATGCCAGAAAACAGACTACTGTTTATTTTTGGCATGACGACCACAGCCATCTATCCCTGCGGTCACTCCCTTATCCTAATTCTAGGAAACAGCAAGCTGAAGCGAGTCTCTTTGAGGGCCCTGCAGCAATGCAAGTGCTGTGAGGCCGGGACACGGCTCACAGCTGCACAGACCCGCGTGGGGAGAAATGGATGTTCTAAGAGAATAATCTAGAGAAGAAGCCCCTGAAAACCTGTTTTACTTGCACCACACGTACTTGCATTGACTGTAACTGTGTTATTGAACCTCGCTAAAATCGTCCATAATTATCTTGACTAAATTCTAGGAAATTTTACTCTTCAAGTGACGATTCGGTGGCTTTGTCACCTTCCCGACCCTGTGATGTCTTCTTCCCATACATCTCCTGGAGGAAAACCAGCTTGGAGACTATTTTCACTGTTAAGGTTATGATGGTGAGAATAAGCACCTAAAACAGGAGTTTGCACTGTGCTTTGCCCGACTTCCCTGAACCACTGAGAGCCTTTCACCAAGAAGACCCAGAAAGCAAGACAAAGGGAATCGTAATCAGCCTTGATATTTAGAACATGGGTGTAAGAGTCAGAGACAGAAGTGTGTGTTTTGAGTGTGCAATTTATTTAATTATTTAAAAGATCACTTTTACTCTCACTGTTTAAACCTTAATTTGTGTGTAATTGGATGTGTTTGATGTGATAGAGATAGTAGTAGATGCTCAGTAAGAAGGAGCTAGAAAGCACAGCCTACATGGGGGTCTGGGCATCAGAGCCCCGATGAAGGAGTCTTTATATTTCAAACCCACTGACTGGAGATAAAGCAGAATCACAAACCAACTGGAGCTGAGCAAAACTTTTGCTGGAAGTACAGATCCAAAGGATTCAACACGGTCCCTGAGTTATGCTGAGGGACACAAGATTGAACCCGGGATGAATCAGTATGAAGTAGGAGATGTTCTGCTTTAAGCTCTTACAAATATTTAAGTTCATACACACAGACTCACACTCACAGATGTATTTCAAATGCTGATTTTAGAAGAGAATATTTATGTCCAACCCAGAGTGTGAACCAAGTAAGTTATTTTGGTCACTTGCAGAAGTGCATTGATCTTATACTATGACCTGAGGTCTAGAAGATTTCTAAATATAAGTGCTTATTTAATTCAAATAGTTTTTGAACACTAACTCTGCTAGGGGCTGAGGCTATAGTACTGAACAAGAGGCCAGCATAAGGAATAAGATATCCTAGTAGAAAAGCAAATAAATAGCAAATAATAACTTAGACAATTTTATTTGTGGAGTTGTGAAAGAAAATCTGAAGGATACTATATAAATGATCTGACTTGGTCCTGAGAAAAGAGAAGGTGCCATTGAGGTTGAAATGCTTTTGTTTCTGTTTTTGAGATCTGAATAATGCCTAAGAGTAAGGTGGGCAGAGCAGGAGAGATTTGGGGTGGGGAACATGCAAATGTATATGTGTTGAAACAAGAAGGAGTAGAGGGCACTGCAGGAACTGAAGGTCCAATATGGCTAGTATAGAGTGCAGTATTTGAAATTATTTTTTAAGAAACACTCCAATATGAAAGAATTTGATATATTCCTTGCTGAATTGAGAAGTTGCCCTGCAGAAATAGTAAATTAATATTTTTCCACTTTATTTTATTTTATTTTTTTCAGTGTTCCAAAATTCATTGTTTATGCACTCACCCAGTGCTCCATGCAATACGTGCCCTCCTTAATACTCACCACCAGGCTCACCCAACCCCCCAACCCCCTCCCCTCCAAAACCTTCAATTTGTTTCTTGAGTCCACAGTCTCTCATGGTTTGTCCCCCACTCCGATTCCCCCAAGTCCCTTCTCCTGTCCATTTCCCAATGTCCTCCGTGTTATTCCTTATGCTCCACAAGTGTAAATTAATATTTTGATAGTGAAAAAAGGTAACCCATCCTAATTTCAGTCTCAAAATCATTCAAGATTATTATGCCTACAGTTGTTACTTTGATCACAAAAAACTTTCAATTTACATATAGTTGATTACTAATGAGGTTAAGCATTTGTACAGAATTAATTAACCAACGGGATATAATTTTTGGGAATTATTCATTTGTTTTCTATTTCTTTCTATTTTTTCATGCCTTACGGTGTTTCTTACTAATATTGACACTTAATATATTAACATCATGCCATATATGTGTTATGATCTTTCTTTCTTAATTTGTATTTAGTAAAAAACTTTGTGGTGCTTGGAGAAATGTTTGTAATTTATGTGAACTTAAATCCACTTGTTTCCCTTTATGACTTATCTTCTACTGCTATTTTTACAAAAATTTGGTTTGGTTTTATTGATACATATTCCTTTGATCATAAATCCATTTTTTGTCTGATTATAAAATGAAACAGTTTCACTGCATCTAAAATTAAAAACACAGAAAGGAATGAAGGAGAAATTAAGATTGTGCATATTGGTAACAACCAATTACTGTTAACGTGTTTCTACATAGATCTCAAATTAAATTTCAAAATAGATTGGAATAAATTCATAGGTATGTTGCTTAAAATCTGTTTGATTATATTTATATGTAATCTAGATGTATAGGTCCTTTATATATAAATAGTGGGACTATAGATGATTTTTGTTTTCTTACTTTAGTCTTCTGTAAATTTCTAAATTTTCTATAATTTAAACATTAATTAATGTAATCAGGAAAATATAACTAAATAAAAAGCAAGGTACCTGTATAAAATGTGTTTGGTTAACTTTCCTTGAGAAATGATGAAAAGAGCATTCCCCAGAGTTTTTGTAAACTCTCTAAGTATTAATTCCAAATGTATGCTGACTTGCTAGGTCTGATAATTTAGTTTAACTTTTTATTTTTTTTAACTTTTGTTCATTAGAAAGGTGTAAAAGTTTTTAATTGAAGTATAGTTGAAATATAATATAAAATTAGTTTCAGGTGTACAACACAGTGATTCAACAATTATATATACAATATAAAATGCTCACCACCAAAAGTGTATTATGGCATTATGGACTGTATTCACTATACTGTACTTCACATTCCAGTGATTTATTTATTTTATAACTGGGAGTTTGTACCTCCAAATCCCCTTCACCCACATCACCCTTCCCTTTGGCAACCTCCAGTTGGTTCTCCATATTTATGAGTCTGTTTCTTTCTTTGTTGTGTTGTGTACTGACTCTTGATTATGACTCTTGGTTGTTGTGTATTTTGTGATTCTATTTTGAATTTGGTTTCGTTAGAACTTTATCTGTGTCCTTATGGTGTGTTCTGCCAGAAAGGATTTAACTTTCCTTGCAAGGCTGACTGGCTTGTACTTCTTTAAACTAAAATTTCAGTTAATATTTTTTTAAATTTTATTTTATTTTTTCAGTGTTCCAAGATTCATTGTTTATGCACCATACCCAGTGCTCCATGCAATACGTGCCCTCCTTAATACTCACCACCAGGCTCACCCAACCCCCCATGCCCTTCCTTCCAAAACCCTCAGTTTGTTTTTCAGAGTCCACAGTCTCTCATGGTTCATCTCCCCCTTTGATTTCCCCCAACTCACTTCTCCTCTCCTTCACCCAATGTCCTCTGTGTTATTCCTTATGCTCCACAAGTAGGTGAAACCATATGATAATTGACTCTCTCTGCTTGACTTATTTCACTCAGCATAATCTCCTCCAGTCCCATCCATTCTACATAGATAGTACAAATTCTGGTTGCAAATAGATGTATGTACAAGTGTTCTTTTGGAAAATCTCAGAATAACAAATCTTTTACATTCTCCCTTCATTCAGTGTGCTTGACAGGTAAATACCCCTAATTTTAACCTTTTGCTGGACATACAATATTTTTTCATTTTTCAATTTTTAAGGAATTGCCTTTCAGGGGTCCTGGTTAATTGATAGCATTCAATCTCATTTCTAACCTTGGAGAGGCCCAAGCTAGACCCATTATCCTGCCTGTGCATGGTCCTTCAAAATGTATGAAGTTGAAAATGCCCCCCCAAAACCTTACTTACAGCATTTCTTTTTCCTTTCAAAATTTGCAATATCTCACTATTTTTGGTATCTGAGGATATTTAAAAATTTTTTCCTGGCAACTAAGCCATACACTTAATGTAATTCTGAAGACTTGTTTTTCTCTATTTTTATATATTTGAACTGGAAGTATTCCTCTAGACATCTTGTTTGGCATACTCTTGAAAGCAAAAGTTGTTTTTTTTTTTAATTTTTAAAAATTTTTAATTTTAATTGTTTTTTGCATTTTTTTGGTTGTTTTTTTTTCTGGATTTTTCTTTTCTTCCTTCTTCTTCTTCTTCTTCTTCTTGTTCTTCTTCTTCTTCTTTTCTTCTTCTTCTTCTTCTTTTTTTTGTAAGTACATCCAAAGCTATATTTTCTGCCTACATATTTTTTTAGATACATTCTGCAGTGTTGACACATAGTTCTCATATTTTTCAATCAGCTCAAAGAGTTTTAAAATATTCCTTGTTTATCTTCTGATATCAGTCCAATATTCCCACTCCGCTTTACCTGACCACATTCCTTGTAATTTCCATTTAATTTAAGAGTTAAGAGAATAATTTTCTAGTTAGAAGAGATTTATAGAGGAAGTTTTGTATTGCTATTTTATTTTACAGAAATGGGGTCAGAAAGAGTTAAGAGAATAATTTTCTAGTTAGAAGAGATTTATAGAGGAAGTTTTGTATTGCTATTTTATTTTACAGAAATGGGGTAAAATAAATGCTATTTATTTTACAGTACAGAAATAAGCAACATACTTATATGATACTTGGCCTAGAATAAGATTTATTTGGCTTAATATATGATCTGCTTTGGTGAATGAAAGGAGTTTGATGGTATTAAAGTCAAATTTACTTACATGAGATGAACCATATTAATGATATTGCTTCTCTATATCTGTGTTTTTTTATGTGTTAATTTACGATAGTTAATATACATTCATTCACAATTACTGAATGATTGATTGATAATTCTTTTATTTGTAGCTGCATTTAACTTGAAGCAATATTTTAATAATTGTGTTTGTGTTCATGGTCATTACTTTTATTATTATTTTTACTTATATTAAAAATCCTGCTTGGGGAGCCTGGGTGGCTCAGCGGGTTAAAGCCTCTGCCTTCGGCTCAGGTCATGATCCCAGGGCCCTGGGATCGAGCCCCACATCGG